GCAGGCGCGGCTCCCACGGCGCAGACGCAATACGGAACTGCCGCTCGTGAGCCTCTTGTATCAACGTCTTCCTCGTTCCGTGGCACCAGCTGGGCCGCACCTTGAGGCGCATGCGCAGTGCTCCTTCAAGCTTCCGCTTATGGTCTGGGTTAAGAATCACGTGGGTGAGGGGAAGACACCTCCTATGGGTTCTCTTGCTACAGGGTTCGAGTAGGGTCAAACTGAATGAAAAAGCGGTTTCCTTTATAAAAATGGGTTTTAAAATGGTGGTGAAGTGGTTCTCTCTCTTTTTAAATATTTTTAAATACGGGAGGTGTAGAGGGATGCTCCCAGTGCAGACGGCACCCTCGCCTTCCCTGGGGGCACCAGGTGTGGTTCAAGCAGATCTCAAGGACAGTGTTGCCAGCTCTCATGATTTTTGGTGTTGTTCTTAAAGTGTGTGCTTTGGGAATGTGAAAAACTTAGCTCTTCCTTATCTATCTAGATACGGATATTTCTCTCGCTCTTTTTAAGAGAGAGAGAGATAAAAAAGCTAAGTTTTTCACATTCCCAAAGCACAGACCCTACGATGACAGGCTGAGAGCCCTGGGGCTCTTTAGCCTGGAAAAGCGCAGGCTCAGGGGTGATCTGATGGCCACTTATAAGTTTATCAGGGGTGACCACCAGTATCTGGGGGAACGTTTGTTCACCAGAGCGCCCCAAGGGATGACGAGGTCGAATGGACATAAACTACTACAAGACCGTTTCAGGCTGGACATAAGAATTTCTTTACTGTCCGAGCCCCCAAGGTCTGGAACAGCCTGCCACCAGAGGTGGTTCAAGCGCCTTCATTGAACACCTTCACGAGCAAACTGGATGCTTATCTTGCTGGGATCCTATGAACCCAGCTGACTTCCTGCCCTTTGGGCAGGGGGGCTGGACTCAATGATCTTCCGAGGTCCCTTCCAGCCCTAATGTCTATGAAATCTATGAAAACACCAAAAATCATGAGAGCTGGCAGCCCTGCAAGGGGCCCAGGGCTGGGGGTTTCTCTGGGAGGGAGCCTACCGCCTAGTGATGCCTCTCACCACCTCTTACCTTGTTCTCCGAGATCTAACCCTCATTTCCTAAGTCTGAGAGAGCCTCTGGCTGCAGTACTGGTGAAGAAAACTTTGAAAAGGCCAAACAAGTGGGACAGACCTGAGTTTGTGGCAGGGCCAACCAGCTGGCCCCTCCACATCAATGGCTGTGTCTACACATTCATTAATGCGCAGTAATTACTGCATATTTAATTTAGTACTTGCTTAATGAAGTACTAAGTAGCTACAGTAACTAGAGTAACTGCGCAGTAGCTCTGGCAAATGCCTTTTTATGGAGACACTACTGTGCAGCAGCTTAATAATAGTGCTCAGTAGCTTCTTAGCACAGTCCGTGCTGTGACTTGCTACTGCGCAGTGTTATTGGAGTACTGCGCATTAAGCATCTCATGTAGATGTGCCCACTGGGTGTTAACACAGCAGCAGTCAGAATCCTAGGGCTGGAAGGGGCTGCCACAATCCATCTGGACCAGGGAGGGGCAATTACTTTGAGCGGAGGGCCGCTTACTGAGTTTTGGGAAGCCATCGAGGGCCACATGACAGGCAGCCAGGGGCAGATAAATATTAATTTTCTAAATTTTTTAGGGGCCCCGCGAGCAGGATAGAATGGCCTGGCGGGCTGCATCCGGCCCGCAGGCCGCATTTTGCCCTCCCCTGATCTAAGCCAACCCCTGCCTGAGGCAGCATCATCCCTATCCAAACTATCCCATACAAAACCATAATCTAAACTCTTAGTAAAACTACCATCAACACAAGAAATAGCACCCTCACCTGGCACAGGTCAAGTAGGGGGACCATGGCAACCAATGTCCTTCTTCTGTAAAAGGTTGTTAATATCCATGAAGATATCCCGGATAAAGGGCCATGTCCCTTGCTACACAGGAAGGCAAAAAGCCCCACGGTCTGTACCAATCTGACCGTAGGGTAAAATTAGTTCCTGACCCCAAAATATGGCAATTGGTCTGAATCTAAGTGTGGGTCAGATTAGCACTGCCAATTATATACATTCAAAACTCACTCATTATGCCTCCCCTAAATCATGAGATTGTCTTCATAAATCATGAGATCTTCAAAATAAGGATTTGGGGTTCCTTTCATTTGCTTACAGATGATGGAGATGTTAAGGTTCATATTTAATTTTTTTCTCCATAGTCATGAGCTTAGAAATTTTTGTTTTAAATGAAAGCTGTGAACCCATGCAATAACATCATTCCAGGAGCAGCAAGTACTGAGAGAAGCATCAAATATCAAGGAACTCACAATGAAATTGCAAAAATTGGCTGTATTGCAGTTCAAATGCCAACTGCATGTGAGAGGAAGCATCCCTATCCAGACTATCCTATATAGACCTACAAAATATACACACAACAAAGCCCAGAAAACAGACATTGTATCGTGAATGATACTAAGTAGTGTCTTCTTTTGGCACCTTGTAGTTTATTTTGTGGGTGCAGAAAAAAGCCACAGAAAAAGACATGTTTTTGTAAGATGATGCAGTGGTCAGTGTATTCAGCATCTCTCTCTGGTAGACAAAAGAGGTACAAAAATCTATAATTTTACATTTACCAAAAATGGTTCTGCCAATAACCTTCTGTTTAACCTGAGATGTGTAGCTAGTGTACTTCAGCTGATATCAGTAATCAGCATGAATAAGCATCACCTCTAAAATAACCAGGATCAATTAAAACCAATACATTGAATAATAACTGGATGGATTTGAAAAGAAATCCTAGTGAAAGCAAACAAGGATTTAAGCTTCTGCCCTAAAGGATATTCCCTTCTCCCACCCTCCTCCCCACACACGCACTAAACAATGGTGCCCATCCCAGATGCTCCATAGACTGCCAGAGCCAAAAGCAATTTATATCACTTTCAGTTCCATTTTTGTAGCTGATATAGCGCAGTGCCATAGACAAGTAGTTAGCTTGGCTGATAGGTAAAATTGATTAATTTAGTGGCTGTACCAATAGACCCAGCTATGCTCCCCACCCGAGCGGTAACCACAGGCTACTTCCTGTTATGGAGTGCCCTGTTCTGTGCAAGTGAATGCAAGTGCTTCTGACCACAGTTTGGTAGTCTGGGAACAGTAAAACCTGGATCTTCTTGACATTAATTTTAACCACACTGAGAGAGTATTTCTTCATTTCAACATATCCTTGTTATGCCTGACAATCAAATTATAGCTTTGACCCAGATTAAGGTAGTTTTAACTTTGGTATACTCTGATGGGAAGAGAGACCTATGATCATATAATAAATACTGTATTTTTCTAACTTCTTCTAATGTAGTTGTGAAACACCACATTATTCTTATTCAAAGAATGCCTGCTTTTGGTTTTCTTTGACCAGGATTATTTACCTTAATTAGTCTTCTCAAGTTTTTTACTGAGATTCTCAGGGTTTTTTGCTGTTTGGGTTTGAAGCATATTGTACGTGACTGCCCTTGGTTAGCTTTTTTCTTTAATTAAGGGTCTGCTACAGCAGAAGACTTTCACATTCATTATAGGTTTAAACATTCATTTTACTTATACTGTCCTTTGGCCAAAAGACAATAAAAGAGCAACCAGCAGTACATGGAGGGGAAACAAAAGACCTTGTGTTAAATTCAGCTCATTAGTTCTTGGGCTGGACAGACGGGTCCATAAATTCAATTTACATGCAAGGACTGATCAGTAACTCTTCTGTTGTCATGCCCAGCATCCTGATTGTGGATTCAAACAGAGGAAAATGACTTTGCCACCCATATTCAACTTTGCTCCACTCTTCCAATAACACAGAGGTTGCACATGAATATACTTACTGCTGCACCTGTAACGAGCTTATTCAAAAAAAGCCCCAGTGTTGTAGTGCTGCAGCGGTAGGAGCAGTGGAAACACTAATGTAGTGTGACAGCTGGATTTTACTTGTGTGACATCTGACACTTCTGGGTTAGACAACACTGTTGAGTTACACAATGCCCATGACTGTCCCATGTTTACTATTCAGAGATTTTCTGAATAAGCTCAATGTAGAACTATTCTATATATTTATAGAGCGTACAATTATATAACTATATCTATTCTCTATATAACTATATAACATATTCTTCCAGAGGACTTACAGAGAAATATAATAGAAACTGTTTAATTCTGATGGTCCATCAGAATTGTGACACAGTTGAGGGACCCAGATACCAGAGTTTTCACCTTCCGTGACCCATGAGCATCATGTTAAATTTGCGATGGCTCCATGCAGGAGCTGCCAGCTGAGGTCCCCGGTGGCTCATGGGTTCAAGGTGGAGTACAGACTTGTCCACTGGGGACCCTCACCCCCATTTTCACCTAGGGTGTTGCAACACTTTTCGGAGTGGGATGAGAGGACAGGATAGTGAACTGTATGGAGTATGAGTGTGTAGACCTGGTGGCAGTGAGTGGTTCGAATGCAGATTGGCTTGGTATCCCTTAGCCTGCTGAGATGGTAGGTTAGGAGTGCTGTGGGGCCTGCCAAGGCAGGGACCCCATGATGAGGTCCAAGGGGCTAGGGAATACTGGGAGGCAGGGACTGCCCTCACACAGGGTATGGTCAATGTAGGTGAGGGCAGTGTCCGGCAGGGTAGCTTTGCCCTCCTCGAGTAGGTGGCAGGGCATACACAGAATGGATAGCTCTATGCGCCAGGCCAGCATAGTGGGATTTGCTCACGCCTGGTTGGCATAGTCCAGGAGGTCTGTGATATGGATGATGTTGGCCAGGACCATCCTCTGTTGCACCCAGGGCTCCTCCATCATTGGCACCACCAGTTGCAGGTTTTTCAACTGCAAGTTGGTGAGGAGGTTGGTACCCTGAGCGACCTTGTCTGGGGACCTGTAGCCACAGACCAGCCTCCAGGCACGGAGAAGGTCCTAGTAGAAATCTTGCAGCTCTTCCAGGTCCTGTCTGGGGAGCCCTCGCAGGTAGACAAGCTACGGGTCATACTGGAACCCTTGGAGGTGGTAGAAGAAGGCATGTCCCAAATGGCTTCATGCTGCATTGCTACTGGCACTGTACAGGAGCCTCTGAGGGGCATACAGGTGGAAGGTGTGGACCTGGCTGTGGAGGCAGATCAGCAACCCTCATGTAATGAGGGTTCAGATTTTTGTGGGATTGGGGCCTTTTAAAGCAGCCATGCATTTCTGTTTGATCATGGCTATAGAACACTTTCAGGGGCCAAATCCGGCGAATATTGTCACTTATGTCTATGTCCTATGTTAATGTTTAGATATTTAGTGGTTCCAGAGAGGCCAGTATGCCCAAGGAAATAAAGGACTCTTCATACCTGAGCTAATTCTCTCCAAACCCACTACATATGGTAGAAAATGTGGGCAATTCAAGGACTCTGCTGCAAAGGGCCCTGAGGCAATGTAAAGTACTGCAGTAGGTGAAAGGGAGCTGCAGCATTTTAAAGTGAAGTGTAGCAACTGGAGATGGACTGTAGCAACTTGAGAGACCTGCAGGCAATAAAAGGGTCTCTGCAGGAATTTGAAGAACCTGGCAGCAGTAAAGGGGACTGGCACCATTTAAAGGGAACTGTCCTGGTCAAGAAGGACTCCAGCATCGAGGCAGAAGCCCTGTTAAGGGAGTGGGCACAGTTGTCTGCCCTGAAGCAGAGAGTTGTGCAGGCCCCAAATCCCTAGCAGTTCTTAAGTGCGAACTACTTAGGTCACAGCTGTTTTCTGATGAGGCAGCTGAGGAGGCAGTGTGCCTGCCATGAGAGCTAGAGGTGAAATGCCAGCATTGCAAGCACACTGGCTAGGGAGGTTTTCTACTACAGTTGTTCTACTTCCTACAGCTTCTTGCCCTTCTGTTGAAACTGCTGCTCATTTCACTAGGAGTTAAAAGGTTGACTTCTGTCTCTCTCGCCTCTCCAAGAAAAGAGAGATGACCTATATATGATTCTAAGACAAAATATGAACTGAGCCAACATTGGTCTGGCTCATTCTGGTGCTTACTTTTGCAGGCACAGGGTAGATTGTACTTTTAAAATATGATCACTATATTTTTAAGATTTACTAAAGGATACAGTGTTAGCAGCATAGCCATGTGGGAGCAATTGCCTGCGTGTTAGTTATCACATGGGAAAATCCAGTAAGTCTTTTCTTTAGCAGAATTTGAGAAGGCTATCTCCAGAAGCAGGTGTATACAGTGGTTCCTTCATCCTTTCTCTCAGTTCCAGGTGATTTAAGTAATAATATGGCCTTTACCTCTGCAGGAGCCAAGTAATTTGTATCAATGGCAACCTATGGTGACAGGAGATGGCCTAGCCTCTGAATGAACGAGCAGCTGGAAGTATGAATAGTTTTGTATAGTTTCCACCCAATCTAGAGAGAGCCATTTAAGGTTTAGTGTAAACATGCCTCAAACTAAATCAAGTTTTCTAACACAGGGCCCTTAGAAAGCCAAATGTTTTCAGGACATTTTAGCAAATCAGTATTTATGATGAGCTTAAACACAGCTATATATAACAGGTAAAATGTGCCTACAACCAAAGCCTCAAACTTAGCCAGCCACTGTATGTTGTCTCTTATTTCTTCCTTCACCGTTGTTCTTTACCCAGATTGAAGATAGGTATAAATACAGGAACAATGATAGCCTGCACATTTCAGTTTAAGAAGAGTAAAACAAAATACTAACTACAAAAACAAACCAAAAGTCCTTTGGAAACTTACCTAGTATAAAAGGAGAACCCAGATCAGCTCCTTAAAGAGAGTGTGATTGGAAAGAGGGGCTTAAAACCACAGCGCTCTCTCAGGAAATCATTGTCTGTGCATTGGCTTGATCAGCAACAGCACTTTTACTATACTTTTAATAAATATATCATATACTGCCAGGGACAAACACATGCTTGACTTATGCCTTGTGACCATCCTCATTAGTTTTCATATGGTCAAGTTTTTCAGAATCAGGGCTTTCATAGATTCATAGATATTAGGGTCGGAAGGGACCTCAATAGATCATTGAGTCCGACCCCTGCATAGGCAGGAAAGAGTGCTGGGTCTAGAGGACCCCAGCTAGATGCCTATCTAACCTCCTCTTGAAGACCCCCAGGGTAGGGGAGAGCACCACCTCCCTTGGGAGCCCATTCCAGACCTTGGCCACTCTAACGGTGAAGAAGTTCTTCCTAATGTCCAGTCTAACTAACTGTGTAGAAGTTCTTCCTAATGTCCAGAGAAGTTCTTCCTAATGTCCAGGCTTTGTGCATATGAGTGAGAAAACTATTAGAATAAAACATGACCTGTCCCACAAACAGTGGATGACCTACTGAGAATAAATGACTTGCTACTGATACAAAGGTAAAAAGGTATTACTTTTAAAGCAAATAATTGGAGCTTGTGTTTTTGGAGCAGAAAAATTACCAATTCAGTCAGTGCACCTTCATCTGGGAGAAAACAGCAAAATGACCATGAAAGGTCTAATGCATTCCCTCATTTTTGTTTTCCCAGTATCCCACATTTGGGATCTTTGGCACGTCATGTGATACCTAGACAGGGTAATACCAAGAACTAGTGGAACAACATGTAATAATGGAAAAATGTAGATCCCTCAGTTTTAAGGCGTCATGGCAATTTTTGACCCTTTCCCCTGGAAAAAAACCCCAAACTGGCAACAGTGCTGTATAAGAAAACTCCAGCCAAAAGGCTACAGCAGAAAAGATGCAACTTCTAGCATCCCATACTGCATTCACCCCAACAGCTTACTAGGGACTAACAATTTTAGAAGAACTTCTTGCTGTTGTTACGAGTCCACCAATGGTCACTCCACCAACAGCAGGAACTGTAGGAGGAGTAACTGTGGACTGGATGCTGCTGTTTTAACACAATTTTCTAGAGACTGGGGCTAAACAAAACAATGGTTAAAGGTGCTGGCTGGAAGCACTGTTTTCCATAGTTGATTAAAAATCTTTAACTAGGGAGACACTCATGTCTTTTCTGGGAAACCAATGGATTTTCCTTTGATTCTCACCAGACCAGATCTATGTTTACATTTCTGTTATGCCTGTGCTTGTAGCAAGCTCAGCTATGTTTTGCAACTTTAGCCTATATATGAAACAGCAGTTTAAAATGATGCTGTGATGGGTCAAGGAAGGTGAAATCTCTGGTAACTAGGTCCCTCAACTGTGTCATAATTCTGAGTCCTCTAGAAGAATATGTTATATATAGAATAGCTTATTGAGCTTATTCAGAAAATCTCTGAATAGTAAACATGGGACAGTCATGGGCATTGTGTAACTCAACAGTGTTGTCTAACCCAGAAGTGTCAGATGTCACACAAGTAAAATCCAGCTGTCACACTACATTAGTGTTTCCACTGCTCCTACCGCTGCAGCACTACAACACTGGGGCTTTTTTTGAATAAGCTCGTTACAGGTGCAGCAGTAAGTATATTCATGTGCAACCTCTGTGTTATTGGAAGAGTGGAGCAAAGTTGAATATGGGTGGCAAAGTCATTTTCCTCTGTTTGAATCCACAATCAGGATGCTGGGCATGACAACAGAAGAGTTACTGATCAGTCCTTGCATGTAAATTGAATTTATGGACCTGTCTGTCCAGCCCGAGAATTAATTAGATGAATTTAACAGAAGGTCTTTTATCTCAACTGTTTACTGATGGTTGCTCTTGAGCAAAGGACAGTATAAGTTAAATGAATGTGAAAACCTATAATGAATGTGAAATTCTTCTGCAGTAGCAGACTCTTCATGAAAGAAAAAAAGCTAACCGGGGCAGTCATGCACAATACAGTGAAAACCGGTGAGAATCATCAGTAAAAAACCCGAGAGGACTAATTGAGGGAAACACTCGTGATCAAAGCAGGGCTGCTGGGCTAGGGGTCACGCGGAGTTTCACCAGGACACCGGGAGAAGTTAGACAAACGCAGCGCTCCTGGCAGGCTCGTGGGCTCGGTCTGCGCCCGGTGTGCGCGGAGGGAGAGGCCCTGGCTGGCAGGAGCCGCC